TCAAACGGCCATATTTTATATACGTACAGTTTGTCAAAGTCAGCCAAGTCTGGGGCTTCACGATCTACTGTGAAGAATGAGGTGTATTGACTGACTTTGCAGTCGGCCAATGCCTGCATTGACTGACTGATGTGAAGTCGGCCAATGCCTGCATTGAGTGACTGATGTGCAGTCGGTCAATGCCTGCATTGACTGACTGCGTAGTCGGCCAATGCCTGCATTGACTGACTGAGTGACTGATGTGCAGTTGTCCAATGCCTGCATTGACTGACTGATGTGAGTCGGTCAATGCCTGCATTGACTGACTGTGCAGTCGGCCAATGCCTGCATTGACTGACTGTGCAGTTGGCCAACGCCTGCATTGACTGACTGATGTGCAGTCGGCCAATGCCTGCATTGACTGACTGATGTGTAGTCGGCCAATGCCTGCATTGACTGACTGATGTGAGGTCGGCCAATGCCTGCATTGACTGACTGTGTAGTCGGCCAATGCCTGCATTGACTGACTGATGTGTAGTCGGCCAATGCCTGCATTGACTGACTGATGTGAGGTCGGCCAATGCCTGCATTGACTGACTGATGTGAAGTCGGCCAATGCCTGCATTGAGTGACTGATGTGCAGTCGGTCAATGCCTGCATTGACTGACTGCGTAGTCGGCCAATGCCTGCATTGACTGACTGATGTGCAGTCGGCCAATGCCTGCATTGACTGACTGATGTGCAGTTGTCCAATGCCTGCATTGACTGACTGATGTGAGGTCGGCCAATGCCTGCATTGACTGACTGATGTGCAGTCGGCCAATGCCTGCATTGACTGACTGTGCAGTTGGCCAATGCCTGCATTGACTGACTGATGTGCAGTCGGCCAATGCCTGCATTGACTCCCTGTGTAGTCGGCCAATGCCTGCATTGACTGACTGATGTGCAGTCGGCCAATGCCTGCATTGACTGACTGTGCAGTTGGCCAATGCCTGCATTGACTGACTGCGCAGTTGGCCAATGCCTGCATTGACTGACTGTGTAGTCGGCCAATGCCTGCATTGACTGACTGATGTGAGGTCGGCCAATGCCTGCATTGACTGACTTGACATTGATAGACATTATAAGCACAATACTTGACTGAGTCTGCATTCATACTGCATAGTAATGGAAATCTTGCATTGGGGAATTGGGAAATGTAGATTATCTGGATTCGGATATAGTTGTACAAATTCAGTAGCATTGCAACAATGCAGGTAAGGAGATGTAAAGTGGAAAGATAATTCTAGTGAAAACATCTCCCTCTGGAATTTCAGTATTTTCCTTTTACCAATTTAACTTTATTTTGCTCAACTTTGAAAAGTAAAATTTTGTCAATTCAAATGTGTGCTTCAGCATAGGTTTTTGTAAGGTGATGCATGAGTCATTTATAAACAAAGCTTTAAAAAGTGATATTTGCATAAAAAAATAGTTGAGACAAATCAAAATTTAGTTGAGACCCCATTTAATTAATACACAATTTTATTCATTGTAATTAAGTGAAGTTGTAGATTAGATGTTGATCATTCCTGCAATTAGAAGAAAAATGTCTGTTCTGAAAGTTTATTTTGACGCATATTTCGCATATCCTTAAGTGCAGTCATTCTTTCTGTGAAATTTATTTAAAACACTACTCTTACAGTTTTGGTCTGGTTTCAATATAATCTGGCACATATGTAGACTTCACTAAGATACTTAATTCTTTTTATTGCTGCCTGTTGCAAAGTTTCAAATCCAAGTGCTACTTTTCCTTTGTTATACGTACAGACCAGTAAAGCTACAGTGTCATCAGAGACTTCTGGTTTTATTCACAATAAAAAAAATTACTATGATAGTAAATCGATTTTAGATTTTTTTTTCCCGGAAGAGACATTAATGCTTTAATAATGAAGAGAAATTTTCCTGAGCATCAAAGGACTAGTTTTCAAAATAAAATAACCTAGAGCTAGTACACTTTGCAACCACAATAGATCTAAACAGTATAACCATCGAAAGATCAAAGGTTTACTGAAAATCAATTATTCTAAAAATCAGATTACAATCTGGAATTTGCAGAAAAGTTATTGTTAATGTCAGCTGTGTTTCTTTTTGAGGATATTCATGAATAATTGCAAATTGAAACAACATCGGGAAACTGCACTTAAATATCTTAGTATTCTGCACTATATTTTACGTTATAAAAAGCAAATTGTGGTATTTAAAGCTAATCATGAGATTTAAAAAAGGAAAAAGCATCTGAAAATAAGTTCATGCTTGATGTAAAAAGAAAAGTGCAGATAATAGATCGTATTACTATTTTGGTTTTTAAAAAAGGGAGGAAAAGAAGTGGGAGATTTTTGAAATGCAGCGTTTTTCTGCATCCTTGCAACTGTCAAGGAAGCTGAGTCCATACTTGGTCCTTGAACACGTGATCATGGAATTACATGTGGAACCAGGACCCCTGAAAATGGAGGATGTTTTTTTCTGTGGCTTGAAAAGAACAAAAACAATCAAAGAACTGAAAGAGTAAAAGGACACTGTAGTATAAACCATTTAGGCCCATTCTTAACAATTACGTGCACGTTTTTTCGCCAATATTTTTTCCTATGCTTTGATCTCAAGAAATGCCTAAAGGAGGATAGTTTTAAAAACAACAAAATCGATTTATTTTGTTTGATTGATCAATTGTTAAAAAAAATAAATTTTTGCATGCCAGTATCTAATAACATGGATTTTGTTTGTATGTGCCTCCTATCGCATGTGAGAACTATTCTTTCCTAAGAAAAATATGGCAATTACCGTCCGCAAGGAGGCGGTCGGTTATTTGACATGAAAGTTTGAAGAACTCGTCCATTTTTGTGGAGTTAAAGAAAATTAAATAAAAGTATTTAAAAATTCATATAGAATATCAAAAAAGAATGTCTTACTTATTGTTTAACGAAAACGCACAATAATCATATGCAGTAATCAAAATTGAATAAATAATGGGGTAAAAGCTTCGTCTCCTAGAACTCTGGTTCCAACTTCTTTAGTACGATTTTTATCTCGGCCGAACATAACAGCAGGTCGAGTAGGGGAGCAGACCGCCTATCTCCCCCGACAAGCTCGTCCGAACATAAAGAGCTGAGGGTAAAACACTGCATTACTTTGATGAAATATTTATTATTTCACAATACTGCAACCTATAATAGGGGGGACCGAACTATCAATTTCAAACATTTCCTTTAGAAAAACGTGTCTGCATGAAAAAAGTGGGGGATAGCCTGCTAAGAGACTACGTACGTGTCTGCTGAGAGAGAGAGAGAGAGAGAGAGAGAAACCCAAATATTTATATCCCCGCTTGAAAAGTTGGGAGAGTATATAGTAATCGGGATGCCCATCCGTCTGTCTGTAGGTCTGTCTGTTACGCTTTGGGGTACCCATCTCATATCCACAACTCCTCTAAATTTGATTAGACTATCAAAGAATCTTTCTTACATAATGCAATTGTGACCTCCTAATTTCCTTTTTGTTCTGACAGATATTTTGGTTTCCCATAGAAAAAGATGGACACTGCCATTATATTCATATGGGAGGCGAGGTATCCTTTAGTGAGCTCATTGCTCACAGTACTTCTAGTTGTATTCTAATTTACGTAAAACTATTCCTATTTATAGATAAGTTAAGACTTCTGTTTTAAACTTTTAATGTAGCAGATGCACTGTGAATGGCCACAAAATGTATGAAGAAAAATGTCGTATGCACTTTTTATGTCACTAGGATATATCAACAAACAAATATCAGATATTTTAATAACAAAACAGGCATTTCAGTTCCTTGCCTCTTGAAAGGAACAATTGGTTTGCGACCGACTTTTAACGCGTGCATCAGTATGTTTCTTGTTATACCCCCCGCTTGAAAAGCGGGAGGGTATATGGTAATCGGTATGTCCGTCCGTCCGTCTGTCTGTTACGCTCCATAGCTTATCCGCAACTCCTCTTATACCACTGAATAAAATTTGATGAAACTTTCACAGAATCTAAATTACATAATGCCTTTGTGCACCTCCTATACAACTTTTTGATCCGACACGTTTTGGGTTACCCACAACAAAACATGGACATTCCCTTTATATTCATAAGGGAGGCTGGAGGTATTATTTAGTGAGCTCATTGCTCACAGTACCTCTAGTTTCATATAATATTAGTGTCAAATTTTAATCTCCATACCAAATGAATATTTTAGTATACATGACAACAAAATATCAATTTTTAGAAGAAACTTGAGGTAATGTGAGCAGTCTCACTTAATGATACCCCTGTCTCCCATATGGCAAAGTCCATGGTTTTCTCTGGGAAACACGAAATAAGCGTCAGATCAAAATTAAAATATGAGATGCACAGTGACTTTATATAATTATGAATCTGTCGAAAGTCTCCTTAAATTTTATTCAGCAGTATCAGTGTGTTCACAGTAACTTTTCTTTGTTTTTAGTTACTGAGTATTCGAAAAAGAAATGAAGATGAACGGACATCGGCGATCCTTTGTGAATACTAGAGGTACTAAATGATACCCCCCGGCCTCCCATATGGTTATAACTGATGACAAAGACCGTGTTTGCTGTGGCCGGGAAACCCAAAATATGTGTCAGATCAAAAAGTAAAATAATGGCAATATGTAATAAAGATTTTGTGAAAGTTTCATTAAATTTCACTCAGTGGTATAAGAGGAATTGTGGATAAGAGATGGGTACCCTAAAGCGTAACAAACAGACTTACGGACGGACGCACAGATTACTGTATACCCTCCCACTTTTCAAGCGGGTATAATAATCACTTCCCACCTGAAAGGTGGAAGGGTATATAGTAATCGGGATGTCCATCCGTCTTTTACGCTCTTATGTTCTTGAAAAGATATTAACAATAAAGAAACATCAATGTTAATGTTTTAATATATAGAGATTTTGTTCAAAAGACATTTAGAACTTTTATTTACAAAATAACAATTACAAAGTATTATGGCATGTTAAAAAAAATATATCACAGATTTTCTTCCCACTATGTTTTTTTTTTATGAATTAATGTAAAAGGACGGATGACCACTACGCCAATTGCGTAATTTAAAATGCCATCATGATATAAATAAATTTTCTTTGGTTTGTTGACAGAACAATTTTGGCTGCATATAGTTCAGTCAGAGTCCACCGGACGACCGCTATCCGAATCGGATGGATTTCGATTTGTGACGTCATCACTGACTTGTGATCCGAATGACTTAGAGCGGCCATTTGATTGGTCACCGCCAGTATCCGATTTGTCGTGCGATTCTTGTCGCATGGCACTCAGTGTTTTTCGTTTCTTTCGTCTTTTTCTTCTCTTTGTTGAGTCTGATGTCTCCTCATTCAGCAGACTACAGTTTGAAGACTTTACGGACTCTCTGAGAAAATTAGAAAATAGATGCATTGACATAATATCCTAGTATTTTGTAGTAGGAAATCGTGATACATAAACTCATCATTTTGATTAAGGTACTATAGTGTATCAATTATTTTTTAAATAATCGTTACGGAGACACTCAAGAATTAATAAACAATACTTACATTTAGCTTACAATATTTATTTAGAACGGTAAAGAGAGAGAAAGGGGGGGGGGGGTTGAATGTAATGAATATTTCAGGCAAAACTCAGTTGAAATCATGCAAAAAATTTTTAAAATAACATAAAAGCATACAGGTAGAGATTTTTTTTATAATAAATCCAGTCTCAAATTTAATATGTTCAATACTATAGCTAAAGTGCATGCATGTTTATTAATGACGTCTTGACCTAAATACTTAATGATGCAATACTCTCTTATATAAGTATACATCCCTAGTTTATTTTAATCTCTTTATGCAATCTTACTCACCATATTATAACTTTAATCTGTGGTGTTCTCGGATGTGTACATGATTACTTATTACAAAACAACTTTGATTTTAACACCGAGAATTTTATAACTCAAGACTATTGTTCTGCATCATTTTGTTATGCATTAACATTTCTAATAAAACAAATTCCCTGGACTGATTCTGAAATTATTAAATCTTTCAATATAGTACTATGCGATAAGATCAGAGAAAAACACTTGCATGCATTTTGTGTATACTCACTACTGTCAAATTCTACCGTGCTCGTTTTTCGTAGCATCTAAACACACGTGAGTGACATTAAATCAAATATTTTATGATCCTAAAATAAAGTATCAACTAAGCTATCAAATCAAAGTGGCTATATAGCAAGGTGTATCAGTGATGTGTGTCGGGGTTATTGCAGTACTGACCCTGAGGCGTTTTCATCCACTAAATGCTCTCTTGTTTTCTGTAATTTTGGCAGTTGGGGTTCTCTGGAGGTTTTCTTGGTAATGTCCATTATCTCATCCCCTCCCTTCACACCTCCTTCTTCAGTTTCCTCTTTTTTATGACGCTTTCGTTTCTTTTTCTTCTTTCTAGAGGTCTCAAGTTCGCCAGGAGATCGACTCCTGTAAATGCCCTGCCCGTCATTATCAGAACTGTGTCCACGAGACACGCCCACTTTGTCCGTAGTTTCTATCGGGGGTAAACGGCCTCCCCGTGGGGAGGGGAAAGTATAGTCTTGGAGAGGGAATGCTGATAAATTATCGTCACCTTTTGTGTACCTTACTCCATCATCTTGTTCTAAATGTCTGATTTCACTTTCATTTGAGTTTCTTACTGCATCAGAAACATCTATCGATCTAACCATTTCTGGGTCTCTTTGAGAACACAGAACCGTTTCTCCCGTTTCTGTAGAACTGTTTTTGCGCCTCGTCTCTGTCACGTCTTTCTCTCGGATGTTTTCTCTTTGTATGCGCTCTATTTCTTTCCTGTAAAATGAATCACTTCTAAAAGACTGACGAGGAGACAACTGGCGTTCAATGTCTGGTAGGATAATGGGTTTCCAAATAAACTTCAAAATGCAACCAAAGAGGATCAGGAAAACCGAAATGACTAAAATGATGAGTCCAGTTATATGCAGTGGTCCATACACCGGGAAAGATTTTTCATCACTGAACGCCACAAGCGTTATGGTTAAGCCAGGAATGGTAAGGGGGATGGAAAACGTAATCATACACGGTCCCACCATACTTTTGATTTGGTCATTCCAGTATTTGCTTTGTACCACATCCATGTTTCTTGAAGCCTGAAACAAATTCAAAACCGATAATGGCAATCTAACAGAGCAAACTTCAGTAAACAATTCAATTAATGGCTGGAATAAAAAATATTGTTTACAGTTCAAAATCTAGATCCACGTATTGACATTTTTAAAACAACACCGGATGTCGTTCATCGGCTGGATCCTGTTATTGCGTGACCGTATTTAGAACTTACGATATAGTACATCCTATTTCTCATCAATACAACTCAGAAATCGAACCTTATCGCAGAAGGAAGCATGCTTTGAGGGTCTATTTACCTGGACTTCTCTTCGGAACTGTTCAATTATTCATCTCTCCCCAGTTGGAATTTGGTGATCACCGCAGTAAAGATGATCTAGCATATCGTAATAACTTCCATCGTGGACGAAGATACTTCGTTCTCTGAAAATAAATGGAAACAATGCCGTTCAATCGATCGAAATTTCTTAGCTGTTTACACACAGATAAAAAGCATTTAAAAATGTTAGGTGGGTGGTCCATTAAACAAAACACAACTCTGGTTCGCAACAATGGTGGTTCTTTGAAATAGTCAAGATCTTATTTCTCCGTGCTATTTTGCACTTTGTTCAATATACTGTTTTAACAAAATGTACTTGCCTTTAGAATTTAATCCCATATGGAAGTTTCCTATCCATGTAAGACTCCATTTTTGTCTTTTTTTGGCGTAGAATCCGTAGACCATGCCTTCTATATCTATTATTAGAGCTGCCCTGACAGTTCAGGTGTAACGATGTGCATATTTAAATTCACGTCCGACGTCGTTATAGGAACTATTATAACTCAAAACCTTATAGGAATCTGTCGTTGAGACGAGATTCCAATAAAATTTCAATTTTTTTCATCAAGCAGTCAATTGATTTTCAGGAGGGTCGACCGGAGCTTGTGTATTTAATGGATGCACTTTAATATTCTTAATAACAACGACTTCGTCTTTATATACAACTCTCTTGATGGGACCTGGTCCCTTATATTTACATTTCTCCTTCAACAGAGAAAAATACGGACTGGACATGAAACCACCAATGAAGAAAAATACAGCAGAGAGTGCTAGACACACGGGTCCGATGATCCGGAATGATAAAATAGAATCCGTCGGATCTTTTTCCGTGTTGATTACAATGGTCAGTATTATGCCAATCACAAACAATGGTTTACAGAAGACAAAGATGACGGAGCCTATGGTTTCCAGCAGACGACTTTCTGTGCGAACTCTCTGGGAAATGTCCCTGTTTCTGTTCCATCGCTCCAAAAATCCCATTTCTACAAAGCTATAAAAAAAAGAGGATCATGGGCCTTAATGCTCACCAGAATCACAATGGCTCAGTTCTAGGTAAAGAGTTTGCCCTTTTCAAGAGGACTATGGACCACAATGCTCAAAATCACCTTAGTCCATTTGTAGATTTTCTTTCCTTTAAAAGAAAATTTCTGACCCCATATTGTGATCCCAACCCAGCCCCCAAGGGGTCCTGACAAAATCAAATTGAATCCGCACATCTGCTTTGTTCATATGAAAGTCCGAAAACCAAAAATTCAAAAGTTATTGACAGGGTTCATATTTTCTAAACATGGAACAAAATCCAAGAACAAAGTCAAAGGGTCAAAACTAATAATACGTGCCTTATCATAAATACACATGCAAAATAAAAATTATATATATATGTTCAAAAGTATGGCGAAGGTGAACATCTTTCAAATGAAGGTCAGTGTCAAAAGGTATTAATATATGTTGGTATCCAAAGGATGGTCTTGAATCAAAGAATTGACCGAAAGCCATAATACCAACTGTTTAGTACTAAAAGTTGAAGTTGTTGCAAAGGTTTAAGATTTTTTTTAAGTGGGTCAATCCCTTACGTCAAAGAAGTCAAAAGATCAAAAATATTTACACACATGGAAAGTCTTTTCATAAATACACACGTGAAATATGACCGCTCTTGCATCAATTGTTCAAGAGTTACATGTATGGCGAAGTTTAAAGTTTGGTAACTTTTTGCGAACTTTTTGCAAAAATACGATTAAACTCCAAAGTGAAAAAGGTCAAATATGTTAGTTCCCAAAGAGAGAACTTGTCATAAGTAATTCAGATGTGAAATATGAAACCACAGCTTCAGCCAATTAAAAGTTATGAGCAAGGTTAAAGTATTTTGCGGACAAACAGTTAGACACATGGACGTACGGGACAAAAACTACAAACCCCGATTCTTCGATTACAGGACATAATAAACGTTAAAGCTTTTTGTTCTCAAGAGGAAGATGGGTGATATTTTTTATCCCCTTATCCCGTTTATCGTGCATACTAGTAGTTTTTGTTCTGTCTTTCTGGCGTAGTTGTCTGCTTGTCCGCAAAAAAAATCTGAACCTTGTTCTTGAACCTTGTTCTTAACTTTAATTTTTTAAATCAGTTTGGGGCTATGGTTTTCATATTTCATAAGTGTATGGCCTATTACAATATATGAGTCCTTTTTAGAAACCAACATATTTGACCAATTGACCTTGAACTTGGACTTTGACCGACTTTTGCAAAATTTTATTTAACTTTTACCATGACCAAAACTTATAAACGGTTGGTGCCAGAGATTTCATAACTCAAATGTGTTTTTCCTATGTTAAGTTCTTTTTTTGACAAAATATTTTTTTCTGACCTTTGACCTTGAAATTTGACATTCTTTAAAAAAAACTTTAAACATAAGTTTTGAATGGCTGTGGCTAGGGCTTTTCATTTTATGCATGTGACAAGACCTTTCCTGGAGTTTTAACAATTTTGACCTTGGCGTTTGATCCACTTTTGAAAACCTTGGCCTCTGTTTTTGTACGGTTAGTGATAGCCCTTTTGTATTTCACGTCTGTATTCCCTGTGACTTTTTGAATCTAGATTTTTAATGACTCAACCGAATATTCAGTGTTTACTAAATTATATCTCGCCTTGAAAGAGTGCATGGTCCATTTGAATTCCCTGTACCTAAGTATACTGTAAGCCAAAAATTTTTGAAGATAAAAGCCATCGCCAAAAATTAGGGCAACAACGGCAGACAACAAACTAATATCCAACGGAAAATCTTACCTGAGCCTTCGTTCCAGGTGAGCTTACATTGAGAAGAAAAAAAATCTATGTTCTTCGGATTGATCAACATAACCTGACATAAATAAATTAGTAATAAATAATTACACGATGATGGTGATGGTAATGGTATGAAACGAATCGGACACACGAGAGAACGGAAGATGTAGGAGAAAAATAAAAATACTTTCGTCATTTATCTATTATTTATTTTTTTTTAAGATTTCGCTATTCTAAAATATATTTTTCAAAAACTGTAACATAAACCAAATTGACTTCAAATAAATTCTCCCACAATTTCCCAAATCTTTAAAGCAATTCGCCTTAAATGAAACTGAAAAAGACTTGTAGAAGGAAGCAAAATGTCATTATTTACAAGAAATGCAGATTAAAATAATTTTTAAAAAAAAATCATTTAAATTAAATTTTAAAAAAGAGCAAAAATTCACAATAACTTGCATTTCAGACAAAAAAATTCATTTAATAATTATACCCTTTAGATAATCTAAAAATTGTTCCTTCAATAAACTGTACTTTAAGTTTTCTAGTAAATTTTAAGTGATTTAAAATCTTATAAATTGACGTTAGAAGAATAATCATTTTCAATTCGGAAATCCATTCATACATGTACATGCTTTGATTGCTAAAGTACCCATGATTTCTCAAATGCAAATTGTAAGAAAATCTAAAGCTTTCTCAATTGGCACAAATGTAACCCCCTCCCAAACTTCCACGTTCCTGTGCAGACAACAAGTGTTTCTAGGAACATACAAAGCATTCCCCGATAAATTTGAAGCAAATCATTTATATAAAATGTCATATTTTTTATGTTATCCCTCATATCTTTGTGATGTCTAGATATTAATTCACTACTACAAAATGTATATTGATTTCCTAATCATATAAAATCTATGCGCATGAATCTTTGTAATAATTAAATATTGATTTTTTTTCGTTTCTAGTTTTTTTAAATTGTCGGGTATTCAATTTAGATTACCATCCGGTAAAACTCGGATCAATATCACCAGGTTTGATTTACATAAACTGAAACTGACTTAATCGTAAAATAGAACACTGAATTACGGGTACTGGCCGTCTCAGTTATAACTGATTTTGCCTCTTATGTTAGCCATTAACACATCTAATCTCATGGGGGTAAAAAAAATATATAGCCAATATAGACATACATGTATTTCTAAAATCTTAGATATATCACAGATGAAAGCAGAAATTATCGATTGTTCTCACTTCATCGAAATAAATACACATCCTACACAGAAAATCATATATTATTACATAATCTCCAGACGAAAAAGAAAGTTTTTTAATGGAATGTAAAAAAAATTAAGTAAAATTTATGGCTAAATATACGCGAATGGTGACATACCTTTACCCTGCAGCCATGGATTAGACAAGCTGATGAATACAGGAATTGTTTGATCGATTTTTTTATGTACAAACTCAATCATTACTAATATGTTCAACTGACGCGGGTATCGTGGCGAAATGTCAAAATGCAGAGCCAGCAGCATACGACTTATCATGTAGCCATATAAGTACAATACTGAATAATTTCACTCATCTCGCATGGTTTGAACATCAGTCATACGTATTATATATAACACAAATAGCAGCTTCTGCTTTCTGAATACAACATATGTCGCATACCAATCACTTGAAATCTGTCAGACTCTCCATGAAGGTCAGGGAAGGGAAAAAAATAAATAAGAGATTAAAAAAAAAATCAAAAAAAAAAAAGCTGCGTCGGCCGGGAATTGAACCCGGATCGACTGCTTGGAAGGCAACCATGCTGACCATTACACCACCGACGCTTCACATAGGAACAAAATAAATTTTATTGATACATAGCATTGAGAGGAAAACGGGAGCGTTGGGTGGAGTTGGGTATGTGGAGTTTTATCATGCACATAAACACTATATCTACATATGTATGCAGATAATAAATCCAGAGGAATATTTTTAAAAGAGAATATTTCAAGGAACGTGCAACGGAAGATAACTCTGATTAACAATGGCCCGAGTATCATTATGCAAAGTAAAATTGTACATATGAGAGCCTAAGCGCATCGTTTGCATGGTTTGGACAATAATTAAGACCATTTGCTACGTGGTGAAAACAAACAGTCAAACAGACTGTTAAACTTTTCATCACTCTTTTTTTATATCAGGCACGTAGCATCGTTTTTGAAAGGGGGGGGGGGGGGGGGGGGCAAGCAAAGAAAAATCTTTCAAGTTGTAATACTCTGCATAGTTGAATTCACTGATCCATACACTTGCATGTATGTATGTATTTTATTATTTGTCTTTTATATGTAACATGGTTCTATGCCAACATGTTTGGTGAATCAATAAAGAAATTGAATTCTTTACTAACCTGTTAAAGTTGACAAGCAAAAAGAAAAAAAAAAGGGGGGGGGTAGTAGCCAACTTTTTCCAAGGCCAACTTCTTTTTTACTTCCAATTTTTCTGCATACAATACTACATTTCCTTCATATCACTATACTATGGTAAGAAGTGGGGGGGGGGAGTAGCCAACTTTTTCCAAGGCCAACTTCTTTTTTACTTCCAATTTTTTTGCATACCATACTATATTTCCTTCATATCACTATACTGTGGTAAGAAGTTGGGGGGGGGGGGGGGGGCAACCAACCT